AATATTATTCATAAAAACACAGTATAATATAATAGGAATTTAAAGAAAATAAAAAAAAGGGGCAACAAATTATAATAGACGCAGGTCCCATTATAGAGAATCCTTTTTCTAAGTCTTATATACAAAGAGATACTAATTTATCGAAATAAACGCAAGACAGTATAAACGACAGTTAACACTGAAAGAAGAAATCACCATAAAACCAACTCAATCAATTACTAAAGGAAATAAAGGTAAGTGCGAATATTTATTTGCATGTCTTACTTCTAAAAAAATCACGTAATAAACAAAAAAATAGGAATAAATGAGGTAGGGATATTTTATTATTTAATAAATAAATAAAGTTCGACCCCGAGATACGACTTCATTAATACCATCTTTATCCCTTAACTGTTATTTTTTTTTTGTTTATTACAATATAGATCGCTCTAGTAAGTAAAAAATTTAAATTGTATAACTGGCCTACCCAGTCATGAAGGTTTGAACACATCTATGGTCAATGTGTGTTTAAATTTTTTTAGTAGGTGCCTAATGTACTTATATTTTAAATACTATACATTTTTAACGATAAATAATTTTTTTATGAAGTTAAAATACTTACCAAGAGAATATAAAGTGGGTTGATTATCTTCACTACAATTATACTCTAAAGGTGGTCCTTGACTGGTATTTGATTTTATAAAAGACAATATACTTTGTTTGTCTTTTCTTTTACTTTAATTAAACTTCTAGCTCCACCGGATAGTCTAATTTTTTTTCTAGGAGCTTCCATCATCAATATTTTATACAAACACAGCACAATACAGAACTCGTTAACACAATTATTGTTTTGTATTTCGTATTTTACTATTATAATAAAATAAAAAATACGAAACAATAGTTTATATTATCATCTATATCGACCATGCCCCATGACATTTATTACATAAATTGAAAAATTAGTTTAGTATTGCAGTAAAAATGCGATAAGAAATTCTATAAATACATTTTTTCAATGAATTTGCACCGGCTTTACGATTTTCTACACTTTATTTATACTTCAATACTCTGCCTGAACGTATATTTTATAGGTAAATCATAATTTAATTAGAAATTTAAAATTATATTTTTATAGAAATATTTTTAAGCCTGAGAATAGTTTATATATTATTGTTATTTTTTTATTATTGTGGTATTATACACAATATTACAAATTAAAAAAGTATATAGCTTGTGATTTTAAGGGGCCACATTTAACAGAAAAAAAACTGTGAATCAGCTCACTACCCAACCCCCTAGGTCCACCCTTGCTCTAATGTCTCTCTTATATACTCCTCATTTAGTAATTTTTTAAGATACCTTTTCACCTTTTTTTTTCACATCATCATCGCTTATTAGCACTTCCTCTCATTATCACATTTTATACACCTCGTATAATGATAATCTTAAAATTTTTTCCTTACTTTTGCAAGTCTATTGGATTTCTTCTTTACTTTTCTTTGTTTCTAGACTATCTTACAACTCACCACACTTCTTAAACTTCGCCACATACTTAGCTTATTTATACAAGCGATTATAATCTATCCAATCTTTTCTCATTTTGTTCTTTTGCCATACTTTGAATTTACATTTCTCCTCTTAATGATTTTCTGAACGTCCTCATCTCATCACTAGGTTTTCTTATTTCTTGGCATTCTACTTCTACTCTCACCAACAATTTTCCTTGCAGTATTCTTTGCATAACTAACAAAGCTATTTCATACATCATATATGTCTTTCTAGATATTCTACACTGTCCCCTCTCGTTGTAACGTCTTTAAAACTCTTTTTATTTTTCCCTTTTGAATTTCACCGTCGGATCCTCGATTCTCTTCCAAAGTTTCAATGTTATTATTATAACAGATTGATAATATATTCTAAAAAAGTCCAATCTCACCAAAGGAGAAAAATGGATGTAACAATTTAATAAAAAGTCTTACAGTAATATCAACAAACGTTTCCAAGTATATTTAAAATACGATCACACAAAAAACCTGCTAAACAACCAACTGATTGTACTCATGTACAGATAATAATCATTGGAAATCATAGATATGGTACTATAATAAATAGTTCCAATAATAGGTTACAAAAAAACACTTCTAACTCTCTTGAAAAATGTAACAATTTGTATTAAGACCTTCTCATTCTCACACCATTACCAACTGTAATCATAAATTATAAATTATTAACTGATTTCCACATTAAATATTTTCCTTTATCATGCGCCCTAGGATTTAATAAAATCATATGTGATAATTTTATGCTAATAAAATAGTAACTCTATTGTTAAACTTAGTATATGAACTATATATTATTTCTAGAGTACTAAAAATGTTTTACGAAATTTGAATTGAAAGTTATTATAATTAAATTTAAAGTAGCAACAAAGAATCTTAATAATTTTACACCAATTGAAAACTATCAAAATCTTATTTTTTATGTAATAATACTATATCTTTTAACATTTTCATTAGATGAATATTTCATAATGTTTGCCTTCATTTTTTATTTAAATGGATTCGTGACATCTGGTATATAGAATAATTAAAAACAATACAATCAAATTTTAATTTTAAGTACAATGTACTTTACTAGTACCTTTACTAGTAATAAAAAATAGAATATATATGAATAGTATTTGGCTAGTAAATAATCACCACCTTTATTTGTTCAGTTGTGAAATATTAATTAATAAAAACCTAGCACAGCGGTGTTGAACCATAGTGGGAATTTGGCATAGTAGGAACAAGTATAGATGCTATTTGACAGTGATAAAATCACTATCATGTAGATCGATTTGAGGAACATTTATAGATAGTATTTAATTTTTAGAAAGAAATGTTGAATTTTTCTAAAAAACAATTCAACTCCTATTTCCTTAATTTTATATAAATAACTAGTTTTATGATTTACATAAAGCATAATGTATGACTAAATACACATTAGAGTAAATAAAAAAATACATGTTTAACTAGCTTAGAATCGAAAAATGATCTAATTCAATAAATAACTGGTCGATAACAGCTTTGCAATAGTATTTCGGAAGATATTAACATTAAAAATATAGAGTGGAGGAAGTACACCGCAAAGTTATGCGCCATGATACAAAAAACATAACCCACACCACCTCATCACTCTATATTTTAAAATAGTTATAACTTCTGAAATACTATTTTAAAAGTAGGATCAACCAGTTACTTACTTAATTAAATCATTTTTTTCATTTCATAAGCTAGTTATATATGTATATTGTCGTTAAAATAATAAACTTGATACCCTAATAAGATATAAGAGATGAATTAAAAAAATACTTAATAATATATAATCAAAAATATATGAAATTAATTAATACTAAAAAAATTCTAGTTCATATAATCTTAAGGGGAATTTGCTATCTAATTTATTCAAAATCATTGGTAGCTAGAATATATATTTTTTTTGTAAAGATCAGCCCTCTTCTTATACATAAGGATTGACATTAAAATTTGCAAACATTTTCCATCAAAAAAATTTTGTATTTTTAACTAAATCATTTTTATAATGTTAAATAAAGGAGTGTTAAATCATATACTTATTTCCCTCTTTCTATAAGACTATACCTTTTGACCTAAAATATAATCAAATAACAGGAAATAAAAAATTATAGCAATACGAAAACTCATAATTTTTTTACAAAAGAACTTTTTTTGCTTTAATTCAAAGGTTGATTATATAGATATATATATATGAGAGATAATATAACAATTTTTGTTTAACTTTTATTAAATAGCATAAGTTTAATTTGAAATATTTTTAAAGCTCACAGTATTCTAGAACATATTTCAAAGTTAAAATGAAAAAGTTAACTTTTCGTGAAAAGTTGCTACTTTGAAATCCTCCCTACGGTCGTGTAAAAGGATAGCTTATACCAATTGAAAGGAAAATGCCAAATGTATTTATATTAATAAAAAATATTTTGATATCTTAATTTATTTTTAAAATAGTTACAACAATTTTAATAAATAAAAGTTTAAAAAATATCAAAATTTACCGTATTTAAAAATCGTAATTTTTTGTTGTTTCCCCCCCGTACGGGAAATGAGTAAATATTTTTCAATTTTTGTAGGTAATGTTTTTAACTAGATACAACCTGTGATCTTTTGACGTGTCTTTGAAAGAAATCGATACGATGAGAGCTAAGAAAAAGTGTCGTCAGACACAAAAAAAAGATGAAAAAGTTTTACTCTCAATGCATATGATTCAAATTTTGTACCACTCCGTATAAGAGAAATGGTCCCATATTTAAGAAAGTATGTTCATGAAAGAGTTGTGTTAAATTCTTATAAAAAAAATTTATTAATCTTCACATTTTTCAAATAGGTCTAGCATTTTTAATTTGAAAATATAAAATCGAAAATTTCAACACAAAAGTAACATTTTTTTTAATTACGAAAGCCATTAGTACATAGTAGATAAGCCGTCATTAGAAGATTATTTTTTTTAACTTATAGTATGTAATATAAGATTTAATTTAATATGTGTCTAAAGTTTGAAGTACCATTGAAAAAATCGGTTCACTAAGAGAACTAAAAAGTGGCAATTTTCAAAAAGTTTTGTAATATAAGTAAGTTAGACAAATTTTCATCAGTAACAAACCTACTAATAACTAATTATTTATAAAGAATTATATATAATATTAATGTAATACAATATATTATAATATTTATACTGATATTAGTAATTAGGAATGATAAGTGATACTTAAGTTCTTAGAATAATTTTAATCAAATAAGTTTTACTCAAGCCGCCAGTGAAGTAATTTTCGGAACACTATGAGTTAGCTTTATTTATATGGTTAATGTACTATAAATATAATAATTTATAATTTTGTGCAATCAATTTATCCTTGATTATGTGTATTCAAAATTTGTAATTACTATTTTTTAGACTAGAGACGTTTCAATGACTTAAGTTCAATGATTTTGATAAAAAGTTAGGTTGTATATTTTCAGTTAATACTTTATATCAACCGGAGTAACACGTTCGTCGCTATTTACAACGCAAAACTCCTCTAGTAGCCTTCGCATGAAATTTGAAGGTATATTTTGGGATCTAAAAATCTTTAAGAAATAATTTTGATTGTGTAATGAATTTATTAGATTACAAAATATTTGTATAATAGAAGATACATATACATTTTAATTACTATGTTTGGTTAACTAAGTAAACTTTTATAACTACGTTAAAAAAAAGACGTCTCATGGTACAAGTTTTAAAATATTCTTTTAATGTAAACAAATTTAAGAGATATTTTAGTAATAATTCATTTTATTGTTCAAGAATAATTTTGATAATTATAATATTTAAATAATACTTGTTTAGAATTTTTAAATAATAATTTGATAAGCTCGTATTTGAGTTGAAACATAATAAATAAATACAAAATACTACTGTCAAATTGTTTGCAGGTAATCTATTTTTTCTTTTATACCAAAAGATAGCAAAGGCAGTTTTGAATAAATTGGAGGAGTACTATTCCCTGTAAGTATAGTCTTTATTTTGACTATGATTCGGTGCATTAATTAATTAATTAAATAAAATTAGAAAATATAATAATGATTTCTATGTAACTCTTTGTGTTAAAAAATATGATGCGATTCAACTATGCAGATATTAATTAAATTTTCAATAATTAAAAAATACAGGTTAAAAGGAAATCCAATAACACATTAGAGGACGAAATGATAACGAAATCCTTCTATATTAATACAACTTTACTAAATTCATTGCAAAATTTTTATTTCTATTTAAATTTTATCATATTAATATTTGATTATTAGGTTTTATAAAAACAATTAATAAATATATTTTAATTTAAAAAATTATTCATAATAATAATTTTTATATTGCATGACAGGTACATTGTATTATGTATAGTATATTAATTTAAATAATTTTTGAAATTTTTAAATCATTAAAAATTAACTATTATTTGTATATTTCAATTACACCATTTTTTTAACATCAATAGTTATATAGAAATGATAACTATGATTTATAATGAAATTATTTATTACGATATAAATGAATAAAAAATTTCTCATTTTTGCATCAAAGTTAAAATGTTATACCTTAATTAAAATTTTGTTTAAAAAAACACAGCACAATGAGGATGTGACATAATGGGGACGTGTTATAATTGGGAAAACTATAGATGATATTTGACAGTAATTAAAATCACTATCATAAAAAAAACGCTTCAATGTTAATCTTTAGTTAGTGTTTAAATATTAGAAGGAATTGTTGAATTTTTCCAAATGAAAATCAACTTCAATTTTCTTATTTATACTAATTTATCTAATTTATTAATTATATAATTTATATGTATAATATAAGAATAATTACACACTATAAAAATTTAATTTAATATGAAGTTGATATTTAATACTTTGTATTGTAATTTAATTTTTCATGTTATAAAAAGTTATAAAGTAATTATATACATCGTTATTTACAACAAAGTTATATCAAAAATATAAGTATAGATTTATCAAAAAATGGGAGAAAATGTATCTTTTTTATTCGATTATTCCAACTTTCGTTATTTCATTATTATTTTAGTCATAAAACTTAAATTGTAATTATCATAGTATTAACCATAGTAAATAGACCATTATTTTTAAAGACTTTTGGTTAAATGAGGTACTTACCTACCCAATCCGATATAAATTATAAAAACGAAAATTTTAACACAACAGTATCATTTTTTTAACAACGGTTGCATTTTGCACAAGAAGATAAGTCGTCGAGAAAAATATATTTTTCAACTTATAGTATGTAACATAAACTTTAATTTAATATATGTTTGAAACTCAGAATATTTTCGAAACATTTTCAAAAGTTGAGTTGAAAAAGTCTTTTTTTTTTTTGAAAAAGTTTTCATACAAAATTTGTTATTTTTAATTTCCTCTGTAGGCAAGTAAAGCGTCAAATTTCTAAAAAAAAATTTTATCAAATAAAAAGAATATATCTAAGATATTTGAAAAAAAAATCTATTGATTCAAAGGATTAAGAAAGTTTTAAATAAAAATAGTTGTAATAAAATAAAATCACTTATCAAAAGTAAAAAATAATGTTCAAATTAACCGTCTTTAAAAATCATAATTCTTTGTGGGATTTTCCTCAATTATGAGAAACAAGAAAATGTTTTTTAATTTTTGAGCATAATATCTTCAAGAAGATACAAATTATTATCTTTGGACGTTTCATTGAAGAAAACCGGTCCAGTGAGACCACTTAAAATGTCTATTTAATAATGTTTATTTTAAACTTGTAAGAAGAGCCAAAAAATAAAAACATACAAAGTAAAAATAGACATTCAAAAATAAACTTTCAGGTATCAAAAAAAAAAGGTTATAATTGATTTTATGGATCAAAATTACGTCCAGACAATTTATAACGTATTAAAGACCAAAATCAATAACAATTATTATTATTTTTCTAATTATTTGTTTAAATAATTAATAATTATGTTAAAAACTAGTAATGATGAAAAAATATAATAACAGTTTTAAAAACAGTGAAAAAAATACTATTTCAAATTGTATTATTTTCAAAAAGTATCTCTAAAAAACTATCTTGTGAAAATTGTTTTATCTTTTTCTTGATATTTATTATGATTTATAAATTAAATTCATTTTTATTCAGTAATAACCTAAATTTTTATGAAAAAATAGTTCATCGAAAAATAAGGTTTAGAATTCTTAAAAAATCATTGTAATACTTTATAATAATATTGTAAAAAAATGCAATCTGTATTTTTAAACTATAAAATTTAATTTTAAAGACATTAAATTTGTATGAAATTAGTTCCAAGAGTACTATTTATTGTTTATTTGTTTAATTATTTCATTAGCTTTAATATTGCATCATTTAGGTAAAACAATAACATTTATGCTTGTTGTATTATACAGAAAAAAAATAGTTTTAGACATTAAAATTTGTTGTAATATAATTAAGAATAAATTACTATTAAATATGAATATTTTTATGCATGTTATGTATAACTTACCATAAAACTATGTCTTTTATACATTTTTAAAGTGCAAAAACCAATTTTAATCATTTATTTTACCAAAGTGTATTTTGAACTATTATTTTTTATTGTTTTCTTGTTTGTTTGGACGGAAAGTTTGCAATAAAACTATAACAACCATTATATGTTCTGTTTATTGTAATTGAGGGCAATTATTATAATTTTTTTGAAACACACGACATAGTTTGAATATTTATGTGTACTATTGGGTTAATTAGTATCAGTTATAGGATTATGATGTAATAATATTAATTGATATAACCTTGAATTATTAAATGAACATCTTTCATTTTGCAAATGATGTCATAAATATTATGTGAAAAAATATTTTTAAACAAAACTTTTTTTAATTTTTTAATATTGAGTATAAAATTATTTTTAATTTGTTTGAATTTTGGCAATACAGTGATTTTACAATCATAGATCATTATTGAAAAATATATACCTTTACGAAATAGCGTGTACAGTATTACTTCATTTTCATATATAAAACAAGAAAATCCTTTGTAAACCAACATTTTATTGAAATTAATGTTGCATTTATTTATTTATTAAAATGTCATTTTTTAAATTACACCATTGGCAAACATCGCAGTTTTTTAAATAGCCATTTTTTCTTAATTGAAAATAGACATTTATAGGATTCAATTGAAAATTACACTAATTTTTTTAATCTGGATAACCAAACATTTTTTCATGTATCTGCAGTTTTAATATTAATTTATCAATTATCATCAAGTTTTGTGGCCGTGATTAAAATGGATTTTCTAAAAAAATTATATAATTTTTTAAAACAACTACTTTGTCTTACATTCGTGCTGAGTCACCATTAGTCAAAATTATCATTGCTTTTATATAATATCATTTCCTTTATATAATAGATTAATGTATCACTATGATTTCATCATCTCCTATAAAAACAATACATTGTTATTAAATTTGAAAAATGTCGATTATGACTTTTTTTTATAAAGACGAACAATTATTTTTATATTACTTTAATGTAAAGAATAATGTATGTTATATCATTAAAACCTTGAAGTCTACGTCAACTTAACACTGTTTCCGTTTCAAGGATCTCTTTATCGATAATAAAATATAGGTATTGTTTATGTATCATAATCTACTGCTTTATTTTATGTATTTGCATTATATTATATTCTGAGACATTTATTTTATAATTAATTTTATCTTATAAAAGAAATAATTATCCCTTCTCATTTACCAAATATTTTACTGAGCTTTAAATTAATTAGTTATAAATATATGAGTAACATAGGAAAACTACTTTTAGTACTTATTTTTAAGTTCCATCTTACTTGTATAATATGAATATTATCAATATATTCTAAAATACTGCAATAAAAGTTATTATTGACCAGTTATTTTCTTAATTAAATAATTTAATAATAATTAAGTATGTATATTTCCATTTTAAAACATTAATACCTCTATAAACATATGAAAATACTTAATCTTTCATAAACTAACAATTTATAAATAATCTAGTAATTGTTTTAAATATTATTGTTCTTGCTTAATTATTAGTCAGCAAAAAAAATTTGTCCGACGACTTATCTGCCTAATATAAAGGGATGTTTAAGGAATAAATTATTTTTGTGTAAAAATCGCCATTCTTCATGTTTTTATATTTTCTACTTCAATTTTTTTTCAATTATTAATATCTATACTTTATGTCAAACTGTATAGACATATAAGAGGGACAGTAAATTAACTTGTTATACAAAAAAAAAAAAATAAATAAAAAATAATATTTAAGTGTTAATTATAAATATTTTAATATACATAAAACTCGTATAACAACGAGGGTTGGTTTTTGGTGATTCTTTTGTATTAATTAGAGTAGTAAATTACTAAATATTAAGTACAAACAAAATAAAATTAATATAAAAATGTATTTATTCATTTATTCATTTGATAGATAACCAATTACTGGATTAAATTAAAATTATAAGTACAAGCTTTTAAATATAATCTAAACTAAAAATAAAATATAATCAAAAGATTTACACCACAGTTGTTTATGATAGTAATTTCAATGACAAACAGATTTCAATACTATGTTGGTGTTCACAAAGACTTAACTGCACAGTTTAGTTTTATGTTAAAAACTCTGCATTCATCAATTTAAGTCTTATAATCTCTCAAAAATATAAATTAATATCAAGTATTTAATATTCTCTCGATATTGACGTTGTTCAATATTACACACATTTTTTTTTTTTTAACTAAATATTATAAAGAATATATTAATAAATATCAATTACAATCGAAAACGAACAATGAAAATTTATATTTCTTAGGATATCAAAGGACAAGTAACAAATTTTATAAAATTATGAAGAATTACCAACTATTCAGTATCATTTTTATGACATTTTGTAATGCACAAGAGTGAGTATCAATTTTATAAAATATTATAACAAATTTTATTCAATATAATATTCTTAAATATTTTTTTAGACATCAAAAAGTGTACAATTATATCGCGCCCAATGAAAGTATAGTAAAAACAGAGCATTATGTTTCCTATAAAACTTCATCATCTAATAGTAAATACAGTATTATTTTAAAAAAATTGAGACTAGTTTTGTAAGCTACAAAATTCTGACAAAATTATATTTGTTAAAAATATTTATTAAGATTTTTTGTCATTAATCATAATATCTAAAAACATGAATCTAATTCACCTATATAATAATTTAAATAAACTTAATTACTTTAAACATTTATAAAAATAAGCTATATATAATTGTTAATGAACTAATTAAGACAGATCAGATCATTTTTTCAATCTTTGATAATTGAAAATTTATATTTGTCACTATATTAAATAATTTATTAATATGGGATACAAATTATATATAAATATTTTTTTAAAGTTATTAACATAAATATTATAAATCAAATATGTCATAATTTCCATAAATTTCTTTAAGAATTTTAAAAAACTTCGATAAAGTTAAGTTGTATAATACTATTGAGATATTCATTTATGAAACTAATACATAGAATTTGTTGGCATGAGCAGAAATGATTTAACTTTAAATAACAAATTACTTTTTCAATGTTTATTTTGTTATAAATTATAAATTTTTCACTTAATTGTAGATTAAATCTATACAAATAAAAAAAACAACATTCATTATACTTTTTTTATACTTATTTGTAAGGTCTTTTTAATGTACGTGTAATGATTATTTTTACATTTTTAATAAAATCCTTTGAAAATTAAGATCCTGTGGCCTCGTTACACGAAGAAGATTCTTATGATGACATGTTATCAAATGCAGTACAACAAATGTGGAAAAATGGACTTCGAAATTTGAAAAAAAAGTTAGCATTCAATACAGCACGAGGTAATCAAAATTATGTGCAGTTTTCTATATCGACATATTGTTACTCTAATGGTACATGTACTATACGTCAGGCTCCATGCTCTTGTGAAATTGTAAGTACTCATAGTATTAGATTGAGTTCATCTTTTTATGAATTTTTGATTCGATATAATTATTGATAACCAACTAATTACACTAAATAGAACGATAATGATGAAACATTAGGAAACGTTAAACCTAGTAAAAATATAATTAATCAAGGAAAATCTCAAAAAACAACTACAAAAATTCCACTAACTACTCTAATTTCAAAGAAGCAGAAGGTGCAAAATAACAAAACTACAAATATACCACCGATTACTCCAAGTTCAAAAAAAAAAAAGGTGCAAAATAATGAAATTACTAAAAGACCACTTATCACCCAAAGTACAACGCAGCATAAGGTGCAAAATAAAAAAACTACTACTAAACCACCAGTTAAGAGCACTCAGTCAAACAAGCTGATTGGAGGACTTACCAATTTCGAAATTAATAATATCAGAAAACAACATTTAGAACAAACTAATAAGCTTAGAGCCAAACATGGAGCCAAAAAGTTATCTATTAATGACAAAGTAAGGAATAAAATACATATGTATCACGTAATGAAAATGTTATAATAAAATATTGTACTAAAATCTATTATTATTGAATTACTAATTACGAACATAATTTTTTTGTCTGGCATTTATTACAATGACTATACAATTTAATTTATTATCAATAAATTCATAAGTTTGTTCAGTGTAAAATTTTGGGATACTATCAAAGCTTTCTCTTTCTATAAGTCATTTAGTACTTAAATTTTAAATGTATGATGATCACGAGTAAATTCATTAACCATATCAATCACAAGGATCATAACTATGTAAAAAAGAATTGTTTAACCCCTATTTCTGAACTAAAATTTTAATTTCATCTAAATAAAAAACTGTGTGACTCATTAGAAGTTATTTTCTTTATATTATTTAAGATAATGTATGCAGAATTACAAAAATGCTTCCTCATAATTGTCGTTATGTCACTATTATGTGATGTCTATTTTTAAGCAGTGTCAAAACTATTGGGGGTGCTAAACTTGGTTTTGCACAAAGTATCCACTGCTTTGTGAGCCTTACACTATTTAACTACCTATAGGTTTTTTTCTAGTTGCGCCATAGAATAGAACTCTAATACTTTATTGTGAAGATACTTAAAATTTATGCTTATTTTGAAAATTTCACTTAATGTACTCACATAAACTTCTAAGACTTGAATATACATATTTTTTTGATTGAGCTATTTTTTTTTTTAGTCTTTTCAAAATCACATATTTATAAAAATGTGATATCACTTTGCAAATAAAATTAGAGATCACATGGATCTCAATATCGTTTTATTGTACGTTGGGCGGGTCACGTGCCTTAATTATACTCAGCTATTTAAATATACAATTTTTTATGAATTTCTAATCCAGATGAACACGTTTGCTCAAGATTGGGCTATTCATTTAGCTAAAAGTAATAAGTTTGAGCATAGACCAAAGTCACAGCAAAAATACGGAGAAAATTTATTTGCAAGTACAGACATTAAAAACTTAGGCAGAGAATCAGCTTCTGATTGGTATGACGAAATCAATGCAAATGATGGTTTTAATTTTAAAGGCAGTGAAAAAAGTATGGCAGATTCTTGTAAGTAATTAATAACTTTAATAAAATAAGTAAAAGTTAAACTAATTATATTTTACTAATTAAAAAAATAGAGCAGTCTACTTATTTAAAATTAAAAATATATTTTAATATTTAACTCAAAATACTACCAAAATTACTAAAAAAATCACAAGTACGTATTTCGGAAATATTTTACGTTACTATATTTATTAACACAAAATGACTCTATTAAAACCATAAAAATAATTAAAAATATAAGATGGCGAGATGATAACCTCACTATAATAAAGGTATATTTTTTGGTTGGGTAATTAGTATGTGTTAAGCGCTGAGGGTGGAAACGTTGTTTCAGAAATACGTATTGGCGAATTTTTAATGGTTTTTTAAGTTAAATATTTGCTAGTTTTAAATTAATATTTTATATATACTCTTAATTTTATATTTATTCTTAATTTTAAATAATATTAGCCACAAGCAATCAATTATTATTCTACAATAGTATTTAACTATTAAAAGAAAATTAATAAGTATTATTTCTTTATTTTTAACACAAAAAGATTTTGTTTAATTCAAATTTTTAATTATTTTAGCTTCGATGTGAAGCTGAGAAGATATTGGTTTTACTATAATGTGTTTTTTTTTTTTTTT